GTCAAGAGAGGAGATCAAGCAAGGGCCTAGATGTAGAAACTGAAGCAGAGAGCATGGGGGGATGCTGCTTACGGGCTTGTTCTTTCTGACTTGTTCTTTCTTTCTTATATGCCACAGGACCATCTTCCCATTGATGGCCTCACCCACAATGAGCTGGGCTCCCCTACATCAAATATTAATCATGAAAAATGTCCTATAGATTTGCCTACAGACTTGCCTATAGGCTGATCTTATGGAGCATTTTCTTAATTGAGATTTCCTCTTCTCAGATGACTCTAGCTTGTGTCAAGTTGACAAAACTAACGCAACTGACCCTTGTCAGCTTGACACACACACAAAAAAATCACTATTAGCCATAATCTTTTCTTTCTTGTCTCCAAAATGTCATAGTACTATTAATAGTACAATATAAAACATAGTATAACTTTTAAAGTTTCACAGTCTTCAAAAATAATCAGCAATTTAAAAGCCAAGTTGTCTTTGAAAACTTAGTGTCTTGTTAAAGTTTTGATGTTTCTAAAATATTCAAGTTGTTATAACTGTGGGTTCGTAAGAAAACAAGGAAACAATCTAAATACTTTATTGCTCCAAGAAAGAACAAATGTATAGTCACCATCAAAGCAACACAAAACCAACATCCAGCAGTGTAGATCAAATCTTGTAACTGAATGTCCCACATCTAGACTTTACTCAAGATCTTCTGGGCGCCGCAGAACCTGGGCAGTTCTACTTCTTTAATTCTTCTATCCGCAAGGCACACAGTTCATTTCATAGTTTCAGTGGGCTCCATTCTAAATCTGCTGCTGACTTTGTTGGTCATCCCATATTACTGACTTTTCCAAAATGCCGGGGTCTCCATATCTTGCACCTAGACCAATAAACTCCCAGCCTCTCTTCAGGGACTCCAACCCTGTTACTTGGTTCCAAGCCTTGGCATTTCCCCATGATCACTTCAATCCTGGGTATTCCTTTACAACTGAGGATTTACCTTCATGAATGGCCTCTCTTGACCATTCATAGTGTGAAGCCTCAGTGCTTTCCAGGACCATTTCATAACTTCAAAAAAAAAAGTACCATGTGAGAGATTCATACACATTACTAAGTTTGGCTGCCAATATGAGGTGCAATTTTGTCCCCTTCAGGACCACAGTTTCTGTGTGCAGAACCTGAGAGAACACTTTCTCAATTATTTTTTCCTCAATGATTCTGGTATCTTATTAATCATAGTTATCGCTCTGCCAAAGCCAACAGCTCAATTGTCCCAGTGAAGCAAAGGTTTTATTGTAGTGGTGTTGGTCTCTTGTTAATCATAATTGATATTTCAGCCCCAGCTGAGCAAACATCGTATATTTGTAACTTAAAATATTACTTGAATGACCTGGATAAAGTCTGCAGGATTCTCAAAAACTTCCCTCTAAAACATATAACAAGCCAGGCTTCCATTCTCTGCATCTTTTTTCAGCATCATCTTTCAAGTTACCACAGAACAGCTCATTAAGCTCGGAGTTGTCAATGGCTTTTTCCAGCCCAGCATCACAAAATATATCGCAACCCTCCCAGAAATGACATGGTCAGGTCTGCCACAATAATACCCCATTAGAAAACACCATGACCAAAGCAACTTCGGAAGAAAAGGTTTATTTGACTTACACGTCCATATTACAATCTATCATTGAGGAAGTTTTGGCCAGGAACACAAGAAGCCTCAAGACAGGAACTGAAATAGAGACCATGAAGGAATATTGCGTACTAAATTGCTCTCCAATATTTGTTTTGTTATACAACTCAGGACCACTGGCCCAGGAGTGGCATTGCTCACAGTGAGCTGGGCCCTCCCATACCAACCATTAATCAAGTAAATGCTCCATAGTCTTTCACACAGGCCAATCTTTTGTAGACATTTTCTCAATTGAACTTTCTTCTTTTCAGATGACTAGCCTGTGTCAAGCTGACAAAACACTAACGAACAAAATAAATTACTTTTTGAATCAGGTTGATATTTAATAGAATTCCTGTGTGACATTTGTAGGATATAAATTCTCTGAAAGGAAATAATTTTAATTTTCAAAATGATTTAAAAATTATATATTGATTTGTATCATCAGTTCAAAGTACAAGCATGATTTTACATGAAACATGTGAATTACTATGCATAACTACACACACACAATGTAACTCTAATTTACATCCAAGCAATTGCATTTTTTTCCAAATATATCCACACTTAGTCATAAGACACAGACTTCCAGCAAAAGACATATCCTTATATTAAACTTATGATTCTTGGTTGGATTGAACGTGTTGGCCTGTCTAGGAAGTAGCTTTATGATGTTCATTATACAAAGCCCATTGTCATCTCCCAAGCATTCAGTTATTTTCTGTCCCATACATAATATCTGTCTTTTAATGTATTGATTTTTTGCATTTCTCTTTACCTTTCATACTTCTATCTTAGTCAAGTCTGTATTGCCTCTTGCACAAATATTTAGAAAAGTCTGTGTACTTCTTATACATGCTGAGGCATATTAAACTTCCTAATCTACAAAAATATAGTTCTGCCACATAACAGATGTACCAAAGACATTTCAATAGCTCCATATTTTCTATAGAATTAGATTGAAGTGTAGATGGCATTCCTTACTTCACCAAAGTGACTGACATTTCCTTGGACACAGCTATGCTGTTATGCCACAGTGGTGATACAATTCCTTTTTTCTTGGAATATCTCTTTCTAGTTCTATCAATATTCTACTCACTTTTTAAGATGCAGCTGAGATACCAATCCACAAGTGGGTGTAATTTTGCCATACTTTGAACTTGTACTGCTTTATTTATTGGACATTCATTATAACTCTTACTATAGCTTTCTTTGTATTAAAATCTTTCATGTACCTTTCCTATCTCTTCCTTTCAAATCATAGTTCTTGCCCTCCAGGAAATTAGGTTTTTTTACCTATCTTTTTATTTCCTGTAACGATCTCATATAGGAGAGATACCTGATAGACATTTGAACAGAATTTAAATTAGATACCTTGGAAAGTTATATCTACTTATTTCAATAATGTTCAATTTGTCAAAAAGTTTTTGAAGTCTTTTACAATTGTTTTAAGTACCTGTGGGATTCTTTTAAATGCTTTTAGTGATGACAAATCATCACTAAAATTTGATTTTGGAAAATAGAATTCATTCTGAGCCACATTTGGTGAATAGTATGAATGTTTAATCTAGGGTGTATTTTTTTAGTTACAATAAAAGGTGTGTGAAGTAATGAGACAGAATCTCTGGATGAGGCATGAACTGACATTTCCAAGTTTCCCAGATGCTTTCAAGAATGACAACATTATTGTAATGAGTCTATAATATCCTAAATTTCCTACTTTAAAATATAGAGCACTCATTTGGCTGTGTAAGTTTTGAAATATATGTAAGATCCATCTTGACTCACTCCTTGTAAATTCCTTTCATAATTTTTAAAACCAAGCTGTTTATGTAAAGCATTAAAACTTATTGTCCATTTCGCTTGAGTGCTATGCTCTTTAGGTTCTAGTGAAAGAGAATCCTGCCTTCGATTTTGTACCAAACAAGACTCCCCAAAGTTAAATAAATGTTTATTTATGGTATTCTTCAATTTTATAAAACAAAACAAATCTAGCTACTCTGGCTAGCTGTTCTTTAGATTGTGCTAGAAATGTAAGGGAATAAAGAATATATTACAGTAGATGTTAGTTGATTATAAAATTTTCGTTTTACCCAACTCTTTAGTAGTTGCTGTTTTACAATTTTGTTTTAGCCATATTTTTTGTGATAGCATACTTGTTTTCTAGAAGTTCTGTGAAGCTTCTCTTGAATTACTCTCACTAATAGGACTATGTAAAGCGATAATTCTAAATAATTGAATTTTGCTATTTTATGGAGCATAGAATGTGATTATTTTAGTTGATTTACCCTACTTATTTTAAAATAAAAAGTCAATTATGCAACTCTGTCATGACCTTCAGCATTCAGCTAATCGCCATTTTATTGTACACTGAGTGAGAATATTTTACAATGAAGAAAAATACTTTTACTATGTGAAGCCAAATTTCCATCTCCTTTATACAGGGAATTGAAGGAAGTGTGTTCGTAACTATGACCATTACTCTGTTCCATTTGTAAAAGTTAAAATCTCTCAACATTTGGAGACAATATTGGCAAGTATTTGCCAAAATATGAAAAATTGTAGACTCTGGAAGATGTACCTATCTGTTCATGATTGCAACATTGCACAACTTCAACACTGAATACTGAACTGTGACTCAAAAAGAACAGATTTTGCTGGACACATTCTTATCTTGATAGTCTTGATGTGGTTTAAAAGTTCACCTTGCTACCTTTTACAGCCATATTTTATTTATACAGAAATACTGTCCTTTAATTCAGTGGTCTTTTACAATCTACATTTTATCATTCTATGATAAGGGTGGATAAAGAGTGGAATGCATAACAAGATAGATTACTAGTGAGGACACAATTTAGAGAAGCAGTGATTCAATGATTTGTACTGAATCCCTAAGGTTTACATTAAGAAGGTGACTATAACAATATTTATGTTAGCAACTGCTGAGTGTTCGAAGTAAATACCTAATGTGTTTCATTTATAATATCATCTCTTGTTTGTGATGATGTGCTTTTTAAGACGTTCCATTTTCCATTTAATCCATAAAGCATTACATTTTTAAAATAATTTTATTTTCCATACACTTTCATATCCTTTACAGGACCCAACAAACATTTATTTTTTAATTTCTAAGGGAATTTTATACCATTTTTAAATTTTTTTCTTTTTATGCAAGGGAAGGCCCTCTAAATTGGTAAGGAAAAATACCTTTGATTTGGAGTATAATTTGAATGCAGATCTATCTATTTATCTTCACAGTATGCAATGTGTTTTTTAGTGTTTATCAGCATTACAAGCAATGTGAATCCATACTTTACTAAGATTCCATTTGTTGTTTCCACAGATTTCAGGAACCCTTACTGTGCCTTGGATTACAGGGTGTTCTAGGAAAAGAGCAGTAAGTAACCTTTGCTTTCAAGCAGCAAATGCATTGCCTCTCATATTCTTAGTGGAATGCCTTTGAAATGTTGGTGATTTTTTAAAGAACTAGTAAAACTTACCTTTGATAAAACTGAATTATCTCAGAAGAATGTATTTCCAGCTCATGCTATTTAATCTGCAAAGACAGCATTAATTAAAGTGCAGAAATCAATATACTGAGTATTCTGTGTCCAGGACTACTGTTTATAAACAAATTTATATCTTTATTTGCAAGTTTTTCATAATGCAGTTTATAACAAAGAAAAATCTAACAAAAATTAAAGAAAATGGATTTACAACTAAAGAAAACATTTAAAGCAACTCATAAAATCTCAGTTTCCTACTATTTAGTTGATCATACAGTTTAATCTTAAAGGATAATAAATATTACAAATATGCCTTACTGTTGTGTGAGGTTTCTGTCCTGTCTGGTTCCACAGTTGTTTAGCCCCAAAGAAATCACACAGAGGTCTATATTAATAATAAACTGATTGGCCCATTGGCTCAGGATTCTTATTAGCTCTTATAATTTATATTAGCCCATTATTCTTATCTGTGTTAGCCACATGGCTTGGTACCTTTTTCAACGGGGCAATCACATCTTCCTTCTTCTGTGGTTGAGACAGGACTGGGGAGGAATGGGCTTCCTCCTTCTTAGAATTCTCCTGTTCTCCTTGACCCGCCTCTACTTCCTGTCTGGTTGTCCCACTTATACTTCCTGCCTGGCTACTGGTCAATCAGCATTTATTTAAAATATAATTGACAGAATACAGACCAAGGTCCCACACCACCTTACCAATGAAAAAATTCAGTATTTAGAAGAAATTTGTAACTGATGTTTATAATTACTCTGGGCTTGGAACTATAATATAAAAAAATCATTAAGATTGTTTTCTTATGGACTCTCTGTAGGACCCATAAAACTATATTTAATAAAGTACCAAAAATGCTTAATTGTAACTGGTACGCAGAAAAATATTAAACCATGAAAAAGAAATAAGTAGACATTTTGAAATGTAACTGAAGTTGCAAATGACTGATGAGTTTTAAGGACAAATGAAATTAGATCTATGACTTTGGATTTGAGACAAGACTGTTCAGATGCTTTACTTCCTTCTCTTCCCCATAAAGTAGAGACACAATGCTGACAATAATGTAAGAGATTTCAGAAAACTGGAGAGAAGGTGACAGGGTTATAGAATCCAGGGCATGGAGAAACCATAAGGTAGAAAGGCACCCAATTTAAATGACATATAATATTCAAACCAGCAATAGAAAAAAAGCACCAATATCCTCACCTCACCCCAGGGGTTCCACAAATAAGTTTGGTGACTTGTCTAGGACTCTTAGCTGGAAAGAAACTCTTACTGACAGTCTGCAGCCACGGAAGTGCTTGCCTTCCTAACAGGGGCAGACCTCTCCTTCTTTCCCAGAGACACCTAGCTGAAATGCTAACAAAGAACACTCAACAGACTTGCTTTTGGGAGCGTCTCTTTGTGTCCTATACACTACATAGTTCTGTATTCCATGTATCAAACAAGGTTGATAGTCAGCGCCATCAAGAAGAATCAAGTCACAACAGGAACTCCCTGAAACATGATGAATCTATTTTGTTTTCTACTGATATGGGCCTATTGAGTGGCATTAGTAGGAAAGATAGCCTCACAAGTGTCTGAGTCTCCATTGCTTTTGGGGGCATTAACAAGATTAGTGGAAGCACCAGTGGTGTCAGATCACATGAAAATAGCATTAAAGATCTTAGAAATTAAAGAATCACTGAAGCTATAAGTCTCTTAAGTTTCCAGATTATAAGAACACAGTAGTTCCAGAGATGTCTCAAGACAGGCAAAAGGTTAATTCAAGTCAACCTTGGGGCAATGTCTGAGGTAAAGTTACAGATGACTTTGAGAAACCTAAGGGTGCTGTTTTTGAAAGTTTTCTTAGGGAATGGTAAATGTTGCACCACAAGAAGTAGACCTTAGGTCAGTCAACATGACCATATTAGGTTAAAACACACTGTGCTCTCTATGGTTTGGGGCTAAGGCAGATGTTTGCAAAGTTCCAACCACATCTCCGGTTAGGGGTGAGTGGAAATTTACACAGAACAAAGGTCCTAGATAACATATGACTTACCAGCATGACAGTGATCAGCCTGTTTGGGGGGGGGGGCAGGGAAACTGAGTGTATTCTTGCCCTGCTAAAGGTTTGGAACTTGGTTGCCTGGAAGGCTTGTTTCTAGAGGCATGAGCTCCCCATTCTTGTGATGTGATAAACTTGTATAAACTTTCAGAATCTCTATGCTGAACCTCAGTGAATAGGTATCTATTAAAATAAAAGATAAGCCCAAGAGCCTAGGAAGATAATGGTCAGAAAGTCAAGGGCCTGGTGGAAATTCCTCAGTAGACAGAAAAACAGGAATGTTGCGACATGAGCGATAAAAGGCAATTTACTGACACAAACACGGAGGTGAGTCAGATGCTGGTATCAGACAAACAAGTAAGAACACAGATCGTGGAAAAACTTCAGTAAACAGGTACAGATTATCTTTAAAAACAGGAAAGGAATGGTGGGGGACTAGCTGAGTTGGCTTGTTTGCCATGCACTGGGCACTGGCTTCAATCCCCCTACTTAATAAAATAATCTAAAGAAAACTTTAGACATTATCATAGTGAAATAAATAATCGTATAGTACTGAAAAATACATCTATAAACAAATTGGTAGTTGGCTCACTATTGACATGGAGATAAAAGAATATATACTAAGTGAACTTGAGTGCAGATAAGTAGAATTTAAGACAACGAAAAAAAATGAAAACTTCAGTAGATAGACTGAAATTATTGAGTGAAGTAATAATGCAACTTAATTATACCTCAATAAATCTTTAACTAGCATTCCATTCAGTTAGTGGTACACCTGGATATTTTAGTATACTTTGAAAACTCTAAATCTCATGAAATTTAGATGCAGTCATAGCACATGTAATAATAATGTAGCTCCAAAATGGCCTGTGAAGTAAACATAAATTATACATTATATTTCAAAGATCTGGTGTGGTAAGTAAGGCAGAAATATCTAAATAATTTTTATGATGATTTTGTTAAATTGCAAAAATATAGCATGAGATATTATGACTTAAAGAATGTATGTAAACAGGGTATGTGTCTCCCTGGTAAAGCATTTCCCTAGCATGCTCTAAGACCTTTCCTCCATCTTTGGTATCTTTGAATAGCTTAAGTGCACAATGAAGTATTAAAAAATAGGCACAGCATGCTTCCAGAGCTTACAAATTTTAGGTATTTTAAATAACTTTACTTTTAAAGGAAATTATTACACTTACATTCTGCAATATAGTTTTTATAAACTTGTACATTGAAGAGAGTTAGCTTGTCCATCTCATATTTATCATTCTTGGCTTTGTTTGTTTCAGAGTTGCAAATTAAATCTTAGAGCTTGCAAAGACTGTAAGCAAATGCTCTAATATGTACTTTGCTGACCATTTTTTCCCTGAGGTGATAGCATCTACAGTCTATTCTCTAAGTAATATACATATACATACACACACACACACATATATTACAATTTTTGAAACATCTTGGGCCTGCAAGATGTCTCAGCAGATAAGGATACTTGCTGACATGCTTGAGCATTTAAGTTTGATTCCTAGGACCCACTTTGTGGAAGGAGAGAAGCTACTACTATAGATTGTTCACACAAAGTCTATGGCATACCCAATCCTGACATATAATAGTGGTATTTTAAAAGTTTAAATAATCTTTATTATATATTCTTGCCTTTGTGAGACTTCTTTCACATATACATTTGTTCACTGGATGATATCCTGTTGAAATATGAAGCGGCGGGGCTGCGTCCCCAACACCCCAGCCGCTTGGCTAGCTCACGCCCGAAATAACAACACACAAACTGTATTCATTTAAAGAACTGCTTGGCCCATGAACTCTAGCCCTTACAGGCTAATTCTCGCACCTGGACTAGCCCATTTCTAATGATGTGTGTAAGCACCCCAAGGTGCGCTTACCGGAAAGATTCTAGCCTAAGTCCATCGTGGGTTGCAGCTGCCTGGGAGAGCTGAGCATGGCGTCTCTGCTCCAGCAGAGCTGTCGGGTCTCTCCGGGAGCAGAGCAGAGTCTGACCTCACTTCCTCTTCCGCCCAGAATTCTATTCTGTTTACTCCTCCCATCTATGTTCCAAGCTGAGGCCAAGCAGTTGGTTTATTATAACTTAACCAATGAAATCAACAGATTGATATATGACACTCCCACATCACTTCCCCTTTTTCTGTTTAAACAAAAAAAAAAAAAAAAAGAAGGCTTTAACTTAACATCCAAAGCTCTAGAAATGACAGAGACATCTCGCTGCCTGGACAGTCACCCAAAGTTCCTCTGTACCGTTGGGGCATCCATCTTCGGCCTACAGGCCCATAGTTTCCAGCAGACATTTCCACAAAGCAGGAAATTTCAAAGGCAGTCACTATCTGCTTGTCCTGAAGAATGTCTTGCAGACTCTTTCATGAATCAGGAACCCCGAAAGATCATCTCACCTTTAGGCAAGTTCAGCAGTCCTCTCTCTGCGGGTTCTCTGTGTCCAGTTTATGCAATAGTCCAGGCAAGAGCAGTTTCTTGCCCAAATGGCTATCAAACTCCATAAGGATCCTCTTCGATGCCCATCTTCCTCTTGAAGTAGATTGGTGCTGCCAGGAGCAGAGTGTCTCATTGTCATGAAAAGTCCTAAGTTATTAAAACATGTAAAATGCCATATTCTCTAGCCTTTGAAAGATATGAAGAATGCCTATCTAAAATATATCTATGCACATCTAGAAAATCTTAACTAACATAACTACAAGCTTAACTACTATTAATGATTATTCATTAACAACCTATATACATTCAAAATTGACCTTAAATCTCTATCAATAAAGCAAAATCTATACTAATGCAAATTATTCATATCTATATCAT